TGTATGAAAATTATGTTTGGTAACACTTCAAGATATATGAAATTTTGGCACGTTACAGTTAAATTTTTCAAAAATTTTATGGTCTACAAGATTCCGGTGCTCATATTTGTCCTTATCTTTTCAGTTATAACAAAATTACACTAGATTTGTAGGATTTCAGCACTAGCTGCCAATGCTCCAATGGTATTTTTTCCTTCCAACATCACCATTTTACCCCTTGGCCTTCCACTGGAATATGTTATATAGGGGTGGGGCATTTTAATTGGAACTAAACCTCCCAAACCGGAATCGAAGGTTTCAATATGGTTTCCCAAAAAAATAAATTAGAAAATAGAATCGAGAACAGATCGGTCCATGTTCAGTTCTTGAATTGAAACTATAGAAACTCGGCTTTGAAAATGAATATCTTTTTGTAAGTTCTTATTTTTTAAAATTTATTTACCCTGATCTAATGTCCCGACCCAACAAGTAGCAAGTAGCAGGTTTGCTAGGTCCTACCAATCAGATTCATTCATAATAAATACATCAATTACTTTCTACCTTTCTAAGAAAGGATGTCCCGCGGTGTGGGGGGGGGGGGGGTTTAATTTCCAAAACAAAGTGAATCGTATCGCTTTCGTTCACAGTCACTCTTGACTGCACTGTATGCATCGCACGTCCCATAAACCCTTCTTGAGACGTCGCGTAGAGTTACAACCAACATTGAATGCTATTTGGAGACATATTTATAGTGGACTAAAAAGGTGTTGAAATATGTATTAGACGACATATTTGATTTCTTTTATTTCCACAAGATGCTGAAAAAATATTTTGTATTTTCAATTCACAATTTTCTTTAAAAAAACGTTATAAGTAGAACTGAATCCGAAACATAACCGATGGTTACGATTCAGGTTTGATTCCAGAAATTGCGTGAAATCGTATAATTCCATTTATGAAAATATTCGAAGTAACATGGATGGTTTCGAGTATTGAAATACCCGGACCAATCCACCTCTATGCCCATATCTATTGTTATAGCTCTTTTTTACGTGGCAATGAAATGATGATACAACCTCTTCATCTACCTACTCTTGTACATCTTCATCGATCTCGGTGTATCGATAGTGGGTGGCCTGTAACAATCATCACTTGAATCACTATCTATTCGACTCACAATTTTGAAAAACATGAAAAGGTTATTGTCGATGACAAAGTCCTCTTCCATTGCCAATTCCACTGGCGTCATGCCATCGCATCGCTGTAGTAGCCAATCCACATCTTATGCTAGCACCTCTATCTATTATTACATCTCCGCCATGTAGCATCATTGCTTCCATCAAAGTTTTCATGAATATCAAGTGAGGTTTTACACTAAATTGACGCAACATAAGGAATGGGAACGAAAGATCAACATCAAATAACTTTTGAATATATGGATACCCAAACTTCGAAGTCGATTCCTAATTCATTGAATGGAAAATCGAATAATGAACATAGACAACAACGAGAAACTATCAATGGAAGTGTATTATCTATTCCAAAGTTTTGAGTAGTCGTAAAATTAGCATCTCTCTAGATTAGTTCTTTTGTCCTCGTTCCTTCCGCTACATCGAGGTATAATTATAGACATTCATATCCTTTCAAAGATTATAGAAACAGCTCTAAAGCTCGTTTTACACAGAGAATTTTTCTTTTACCATTTTCTAAAAACATTTTAAAAGGATTTAATGCTTAAAACTGTTACACAAAAAACATGATAATTTATTTCTTTTAACATAATAGCCCATGCCCTTCTAAGCAAATGTCCCCGAAACGGTCTCTTATAATCACCAGGCATCGTCAAACACGAAACTAACTCGGGTCGGGCGTAGACTATATAATTTCAAAGGGAAAAAATTCACAATTCAGGTGTATGGTTTACATCAATTCAAAAAACAGGTATATAGTTTACAAATTCAAAATTCAGGTATTTGGTAATTAATTAAAAA